TAAATCAACAGGTAAACAACATTTTTGTCAATTGCACTCGCACGCAATCCTCAAGTTATTTGCCTTATATTTTGCATAGACCCCAACCATATGAGCTCCTATGTTACTTTACGTTAAGTTAGACCCATCAATCAGTCATGTAAGTGATTCGATTATAATAATCCCACGACTTGTGTGCCAATGGCATAATCAAGTCACTTCCATGTGCATCATATGCTAAAATGGTATACACAGCTTTTCTTGCAAAACGTATCCCATGATTCATGAGACAGCACATTAAGGTTATTGATAGAAGGTATGGATGACTAAACCGCATTTAATATTACCTATATTAACTTAATATTATACTTAGTCAAACGAAGTGAGAGTTTTATAGTGAACTAAGATCCCACTAATTTTTACTTTCCTTATTAAGTTATATATATGCATGTAATTATCAAAATAAAAGCAAGTATATCATAAAAATAAGAAAAGTAATGGTATAATTGTGGATATCTTATGGAATTAAAATAAAATCTACACTAATCCTCCATTAGCCTTCATTAGGATCCAGTGGACTTATGGGTTTGATTTTTCATAATGCACCAATTTCGCTCACCTCCGTTCTTTTAAATAATTATTATAATTAATAATAATAGAATCTTAAGATAAACACGAGGGGAAGTACATGAGAGGAAGATAGAAAATATACACAAGGATAAGAGATAAGGCAAGATGTGCAAGTCTTATTTTAAAACCAACTAATCCATAACTAACCATATAAATCATCCAACAAAAATGTAAATATCAAATGTAAAACGATAAATTTATTGGATGTTTTTATTTATTTATTTAATTTTTCTACACTTTAGAAAATTTTGTTTTATTCAAAATTGGTGTCTTTGAATTCACAATGAAAAAATCCACAAAAAGGCAAAATTTGAGATTTTTGTCAAAATTAACTAGACCAAACTGGACCAGTCCGGTTTGGTCCAACCGGATTGTTGGTTTAGCATCTTCTTCAAGCCTTTTTTTTTTCTGTGGCATAGCCGAATGGCTCTGCTACTTACAATCGTTGTGGCGGCATGGCTGAGGCTCACCCCCAGCTAAAGTCGACAACTTGGCCGGGCACAGCGAATGCCGTCATCGCCACCCGTCCGCCCATATTTAGATTGGGCTTCTAGTAAACCTGATCTCATTCCTATAATCCATCTCATTCTGTCTGTTTCAAATGTTCAAATCCCTTTTTCAATTTGTTAGAATCTGTTCATAATAGATCCAAACAAAAATTTTAAGATGAAGATATGTATATATATATATATATATATATATATACACACACACGCACGCACAGCAGAGAAAAAAATTTTTTTTGTTCAAACCTATGTCAGGCAGGTGCCGCGGCATCACCGGTCTTAATCTGGGTAGGCGAAGCTCGTCGTTTGTTATGATTGACCATGGTTGTACCATGGCTGTTGTACAACAATGGAGGTCAAGCGGCCATGGTAGCCATTTCCAGCGAACCATTTACCTTGTTCCTCTTTTGTTTTAATTAAGGAAAGAAAAAAAAAAAAAAAGGCTTATGACCGGTCAACGAGGTGCCTCTGCAGCAGAGGCTTTAAATGATTCATCATCATCACATCATCATCATCATCATTACCATCATCATCATCATTATCATTATTTAGTTAATATGCAGCAGAACCGAATGGCTTTACTACTTACAATCATCCCATTCGAAAAAACAGCCTTGGTAACAAAGATTTTAATTCAATTTTTTTAAACAATTTCAATAATAAAATTAAGTAAAATCTTTTAAATTTTAATGAACTTAAATTATTAATTAATTTTAACAAAATTAATTTTACATAAACAATTTTAAAATTTCAAAAACTTCAATAATTGAAGTTACTCTTTAACACCAAAATTTTAAATTGATCATCCACATAAATTAAGAGGCTTCTCATATTTAAAATTGCATAATCTGCTATGATACCATTGTTGGGTTTCATATCAAAATAAGGAATCTTATGACCATGAAAATTTATTTAAAAAAAATTATTTTGTGATCGAATTATGTTAGATCCCTAATTCTATACCCTAAGATACAATATGTAAAAATTTAATCTAAGAAAATTGATTTATACCTTACAAGTTTCTGACTAATATAGAAATTGAGCGAATTCAAATTCGCACATCAGTAACCTAGCACGTACGTTGGAATGGTTCACAAGAAGCTTATATGCGCTTACTCTAATGGTATCTATATGGAAAATGTCCGCTAGTCCTTAAGATTATTCTAGTAATCTGAAAGTATTTTTCTCAACTTATGAGTTTTTCTATCAAGATGATCTAAGGATTATAAAGAATCTCTCCCTCTCAATTACTTGAAATTCTCTCTATGATAAAAGGCTTCTAGACCTTTATTTATAGAGAAATAATTTTATATTTATCTTATCATTAATTAGGAGATAATATCTATATTATTTAATTTAAAAATTAAATAATATCTATGTAAATAATTCATATTAATTATCTTTAATAATCTCCCAACTAATTAGGAGATTTTATATGATAAGATTAAATAATTAATTAATTAAACTATTTAATTAATATAATTATTTTATTCTCTTAGTTAATTATAAATTGAAACAAAGGCAATTCCAAAGAGACCTGCTTCCAAGATTTCAATAGAGTGATTCAAGCTTTGGGTAGATATAGTGTGCTTTAGAATATCATATTGTATAGCGGATAAGGATTACGATTTACGCTGATCAAATAGAAAGTGAACTAATCTGCTTCATTGCTGATACCCTTTACTCCCTTGATTAAGAAAGAAAAGAAATACATATTGCCATTACCAGTGTTGAGAATAGCAGTGAACATTAATGTTTCTATTAATCTTGAGTTCCACCATCAAGCAATCAAGTTTTTTATCTTTGGTAAGGTGCATCCTTTCTCCCCCTAATTCCAGGTTTAAATTCTATTTTGGTTCTCACGATTTAACCCAAATTCCATTTTTGATTCCCACAATTTCAATTGTAATATGTTTAGCCAAGCTCCGGTATCTACTGCACATAAAATATAACAACGACAAGGGCAAAATTTAAAACAAGGAATACACCAGGAGACAAACAGGAAAAACACAAAACAATAAACAAACAGCAGACAATACCAGATCGTCAAATCCATGGTCACCCATTTGCATCCTCCGCTCAAAAATTTTTTTCTTCATGTAAAGCACGAAAGTTCAGTAACAAAGCTATGAAACAGTTCTTGACAAACCAAATGATGACAAATTTTAAGCCAACAAACAAGTTCTACAGACTATTTAAACTCCCAGTACTTCAAAGTAATACGATCACATCAACCTCACACAACAGATCCCTATATAGTTTACACCAGCCTAAATTTCAGACCCTTCATGACGAAGGTGAAGCAAATCTGGGAGTTGGACACCTCGAAATAGATCTCGAACTTGCACTCCCACCATAACTCCCAGAAGATACTACAAGAAATTAGTATTTTGTGATGGACAAGTTTTGTTGAAAAAAGTTTATTTTCTACCAAAAATTTTATTTCCGACAAAATTTTTTATGGATGAAAATTTGTCAGAAATTCGAGTGTCAGAAAAAAATTTTAACAGAAATTCTGTCAATCAGAAATTTTTTACGGATAGTCTGTCAAAAATTTATAAAATAAAATTAAAAAAATTAATTATTACATTAGATATAGTCAGGAACATTGATTTTTTATACAAGTATGCCTTGATAATTAAAGTTAATGCAAGAATAAGATGAAGTTAATTGTATCATCCATCGCTTCTCCCACTCACAGTTACCCAATTAAGGAAGTCTTGTAGCACGAAGGTTCCAGTCTAAATTTTTCATCAAAAATTAAGTTAAAGTTTCAAGAAATGGAGAGAGAGCAGGTGGCAACACGCAAGATACCCGAGACTGGAGTCGGGTTTGGATGACCAGAAAAAAGCTTTGTTCCTCGAGCGATAGGAATTAGTCGTCGCAGCAGCAATTCTCCATGAAAAAAATGTGTAATGAAATGGGTATTACGTCGAGCCGCGTCGAGCAGCAATCTTCCATGGATGAGTGGAACTCGCGTGCATAGAGGGAAGGTGTGGGTTTTCGGAGAAGCGAAGTGTTGTTTTTGTGAGAGAGAGAGAAAGGGGTGGAAAATCACGTTGTGAGAGAGAGAGAGAGTGAGTGAGTGGGGAGACGTGGGTTTAATTCTTTTTTAAAAAAAGTTAAAAGGTGAGAGGTTGCACGGGTTTGGTGATAAATGGGGGATAGGGGGATATGGGTGGGATTGGGTTTGGTGATAAATGGCAAAGAGAGAGGGAGAGGTACGGGTGGGATTAAATTTTTTAAAAAGAAAGAGATAAAGTTGAGAGAGTGAGAGATGTTGACGTGGTGTTAATGGTTTGGTAAAAGTGTTTCCAACGGGTAATATCAGTCGAAATTTTAATTTAAAATTTTTAAAATTTAAAATATAACTTTTTTTTTTTCTGTACGTTATCTGATAAAAATTTTTTAAAAATTTTAAAAGGTATTTTGGATGGATAATTTTCGTCAAAAATTTTGTTCAAATTTTTTTTAAATTAAAAATTATACTAAATTTTTTTAAATTTTTTGTCTAAAAATATTTTTAAATTTTCTGACAAAAAATAACTATGATAAATATTATTATTTTAAAAAATTTAATTTTTTTTTTTTGTTTCCCACGGACTTTTTGTCGGAATATCCGTCAAAATTTCGACCAAAACTTGTCCGTATGAAAAAATCCGTTGGAAATTAGCATCTTTCTTTTAGGACGGCTATCCCGAGATTTATGCCTTGAGCCCTTCCTTCTCCTAGCACTGGGAGAAATGCTTTGTGAGTAGCTCTTCCTTGACCTCCTATGATCAGGAGAAACACTACGAGAGTAGCTTCTCCTTGAGTGCCTGGGCGAGACACTGCGTGAATAGCTACTTATCGACCCAGACGATAGACTACGTGAATAGCTCCTCCTCAAACGTCTCCTTCAACTTTTTCTTCGAATGGGTGAGACACTCTGTAAGTAGCTCCTTCTTGCCCTTGGTGAAATGCTTCTGGAGACGGAACGGTAGGAACTTCTGTTGTAGTAACGGTCATCAGATGAATGGTACGTCGAGCCATAAGGCGAGTAGGATCTGTCATGCCTGTGATCTGGTGACCTGCTGTACGGGGTGCGAGATCGTGAGAAGGACCTAGCCCGCCCGTAGCGGGGAGAATATGATCTACGCCTGTTATAGGAGGTGGGGTATGATCCCCTTCTTGAGTGGGGAGAGTAGGATCTGCTTCTATCTCTCTCGGATGAGTATCGTGGAGAGCGACTTCTATGGTAGGGAGAGTAAATTCGAGATCGAGATCGAGAACGGCGTCGCACTACAGTAGAATCAAAGGTTATCAACTGCTAAATATAAAGGTTATTTTTTACAATATCAATGCTTGTTTAAGATTACAAAACTTGAAGAGAGGGAGTTGGAGTGAGAGAGGAAGAGATATTTAGGCACTTAATGTATATTTACAAATTTGCTTGCTGGAAATATAAAATTTACGTTTACATTTGTTTAGGAAAATAAAAATATTCTCAATCCTTATCCTGCTCCGATTCTCCAACTCAGATCGCTCCTTATTCTATGCTCACTGTCCCACTCTTTATCCCACTCCTATTTCTGCTTTTTATAAACGTAAACAAAACAAAGTTAAACCTTATCAAACACAACCAAGTAATAATAAGAGGTCAGACAAACTATTCCTTTTACCATGGATTGTTTTTAGCCCCAGATACCGTCCTGGAGTAGGTGTCCGACCTCTACGTCTCCTAGCCTGCAAAGGTTAGAAAGTAAGGCATGAGTCCATAATGTTCACCATCCAATCAAAGCAACGGTAAGTAGCCACATTGGATTGGACAAATAAAAGCAGGGGGTGTAGTGATTAAAAATGTTTACGAGTAACTGAATAAGCATAAGGCTAAACTGCTAGAGAGAGAAACGCAGGGCATACAACCCTCGGATATAATAGTCGGATATTTGCTTGATGAATTTGATTTGATTGTTTCGTTGTATGACTTTGGTGAAGAGCTGCTACGCACAGCTACCCTGCTGCCAGAAAAAACTTCAGGCGAATGAAGCAAACAACTTTCAAACATAAGGAACAAATATTGAGCTATATACACTGTTTATGTAACCACAGCTGATATTAAACTATGGACACATTTACATAAGTATAGCTCTGATAGCTTAAGAAAACTAGTTAGATAAAGCTACTGCAGAAAATGGCTTGGATCTGACACAGTTTATAATGATAATACAAAAACTAATTAATTATTTATACCTTCTCCACAGTAATGACACGGCCCTCCAGCACAGATCGATCCAAATATTTAATGCAACGATCTGCATTCCTCAACAGTGGACATTGTCACAAAACCAAATCCACGTGATTCCCCTGTCCACGGATCAACCACGAGGTGAACATCCTCCACCTGTAAAAACAAACAATCCCATCACCAAGCATACGGAGAATGAAATGCAAATCAATCCGCCCAATACTGATACAACAATCTAACTCCACAACTGCTTATAGACGTAAAATGAGTATGGTATTTTATAGTTATTCCTAGAAGGATTTTCGGAAAACCAGTCTAAAACATGAAAAGGATTTAAAAAGCATTAAAACGCTTCCACCAACCTGAAAGTCTAAAACCTCCTGTCAGAAACATGTAAGCATGCATACAGAACACAATGACTACTAAAATTCATTTCGACGCACATGCAACAAAATATAGTTTTTTGGAACATGCACGTTTAAGTGTACATGAAGAAGAAAAATAAGAGAGAAGAAAGAAAGGAGAATAATCTTTCCCTCAGTTGAAAATGCTTCTCAAGGTCTCTCTTTGTGATGCGAGCTGATAATCCAGTCACATACAGATTATTCCCAGGATTCTCAGCACTTGATTCACGGCTTCTGCAAGCCATTAGAAAATTAGATGAAACAAACAGTTTCATATAAAAAGACACAGATCGGATACTAAATTCAAAACAAATGCAACAAATACAAGGGAAAGAGACGAAAAATAACAGAAAGACACATCGATAAGGTACAGAAAAATTAAGAAAGCACCTTGACCGGCTCCTTCTCAATGACATTGACTGGGACCTTGACCGACTGTACTTCCCATATGGTGAAGGAGAGTGAGAATACCTAAAATTGACGCATCAACAACATTAACAATTTAGACAGCCCAAAAACCTGATCCCAAATGCAAACTACCAACTCATTAGCCATTTATATAAATGAGGATCAGACACACCTTGATCTTTTGGAGTACGACATCTAGGGAACAATAATAGAAATGAAAAATCAACAGATAGGAAAGATGTTAACCCAACAAAGGGTTTGCTGTTGAAGGATGGTTTTCACAGATGATTACCAGTTAGATGTGTGATAGCAAAAACTAAGGTGCATGGCAGCTCATCACCTGCCGCCATGTTTAGCTAATTTATTATTCTATTTTTCTAAGAAATTTCTCTTTATAAAAATAAGATTGGCATCTTGAAGTAGTGTTTTTATTATATGACAAAAAATACGGCTTTTTATATTTTTTTAAAAAATTCTGAATATACATGTAATTTTTTCTGTATTATTGGTTTTCAAATAACTTGAAAGATTACAAAAAGAAGAGGTTCATCACGAGTAAATTCAATTAGACATCATAATATCTCATCAATTAAAAAAAGTTTAGTAATTAGCTTACCTTAATAATTTAAATTAATTCAACAACATATTTGTCTCACCTCACTGTGTCATGTGCTCAAACTTTTCTCTTTAAGTTATGATTTTAAATGTTTTTGCGTCATGTTTAAGGATACTCCCTTTGTTCAAATCTCTCTACGTTGAAAAAAGGAAGCAATACGGTTGTGTCAAAATTGACCGTTTGTTTTGGTACATTGAAAATATCATTATTACCGAATCCAACGTCTATATCTCGTATTTACAGGTAAAAAATGTAATTGAACAAATACGGAACCAAACAGTATCCGACGTTTCCCAAGTGGCTGGACATAATTTTCAAAAATTAACCGTAGGATTAGTGTGTCAACTTAAAAAAAAAATGGATTTAATTATTTTCCCTCGATAATAAAAAGTAATAAGCACCGCCAATTGAATCCGAATCTCTGAGTTAATTATTTATGAGGACTAATTCCCCCTTGGAATGGAAAGGATAGGAAAGGAAAGGAAAGACTAGATGGTTCATCAGAATGGTAGTAGCTGCTATGCCTATCTTGGAACAGAATATAAAAATGCTGCGGATGGAGCCGAGGTGGTTCGAACTGATCCATATCCGCGAGGATAGTGACACCTGTGTGCAGATTAACCATGTGGATCGGGGGATGATTACTTTTTATTATTAACATTAAAATATTTTATTTCAGTAAAATTATTAATAGATTTATTTTTTAAAAAATAATATCAAACGAGTTTTTATATTTTTCATATTTTTATTAATAAATTAAAAATATATTTATATTTTATAAATACGTATTTTTTATTTTTTATTTTTATTTTTGAAGAGAAATAGGTTCCATTGCTGCTGGGGGAGCTTGGTGGCATCCTCTTTGTTACATAATTAAAACAATCGTATATTTTTAATAAAAAATTTATAATTTTAAATTATCATTTATTATAAGCAAAAAATTATAGTGAAAAATAAGAAATTGGTTTTGACAATAACCTTATTTTGTAAAATCTTTAAAAATATTTTTTGTACACAGAAAGTTATTTTTTTACCTAAGATTAAAACACTTTTTATTGGTTTGTTTTCAAAATTCTCAACTTCTTTTGCCAAACAAAAATATTGTCATGGTTGAAAGACTTGTGAAAGTTTTGGCCTAGGTTTCAAATAACTTTTACTTTAAGGTTTCTAAAATTATCTAATTTCTTATTTGAAAATATTTTAACGGATTCTAAAGGTTTCTCTTTTATTTTTTATTTTTTCAGTAATTTAGATATTTTTGTATTTTAATTGTATTTTTGAAAAATATTTTGAAAATTTTCTTTTTTATAGAAAATATCATTGTACTTAAAAATTAAGCTAATAAAATAAGTTCAATTTTTACGGCACTAAAATAAATCTAAAATGTAAAAATGTCGGGCAAGCAAATTATGTTTACAATTTTCTATTTTTGAAATGTAAAATAATGCTTAAAATGCACGCCTAGAAAGGCCAAAGGGCCCATTCTGAAAAAGGCACGATGACGTCAACTGTCCCATGTTTAAGGAATTTTTTTCCATCTATTAAAATTATTATTATTATTATTATTATTTTTGTGGGTGTTGGGTGGGGGCGGGGGAGGGATGCCCCAACAGAGTCACAGACTCGCAGGTAGAGACAAATACATCATCATGTTCCCACCACCGTTGATTAATTTTCCTTTTCTTTTTTGTTTTTCGGTCATTACCCACCGTTTGATTCGAACTCTCACCATCTTTGTCCCTGTTCCCCCATGCATGCATTCCCATTTCCCGCTGCGAGCCTATACTTTCTTTCCTTTGACTCCCATGACACGGGCGAAGGCCGAGTTGAGTGCTTTGTGCTATAGTCTTGAGGCTAGTAGATGCTGCAGGGTGGGACTCTCAACTGCTGCGCGCCTTCGAGTCGGACTCTCAATTTTGTCTCTCTCTCTCTCTCTCTCTCTCTCTCTCTCTCTCTCTCTCTCTCTCTCACACACACACACACACACACACACACACACACATGTCAAGGGTCAAACTTGTGAACCATGCCGGCCAAGACGGGGACTGGGACTGGGACTGGGACGAGGCTAAGAGTGCTGAGAGACTTTCCTAACCCCGATGACTCAGGGTAATTACCCACCAAATTGGGTTGTTTTGCGGGTCCAGCTTGTTGAGGTGGCAAAGCCATGTCATGCGGGTCCAGCTTGTTGAGGTGGCAATGCCATGTCATGGGTGACTTGGCAGAGCTTCAGGATGGCCAGTTAAAGAGACAGTAAACAAATGTGCTGGCGGACAGAAGCCTGCGGTGACTTCCAGATTGGGGGAGTAGTTGCAGCTTGCTGTTGGAGTGGGACACAGAAGCTGCAGCTAATCAGCTGCATGCTGTCAGTGTTGGTGGTCTAGCCGAGGAAGCATGCAGATACAAGGTGGATTCGGTAGGCAACCCGAGTTCTCCAAGCAAGGTGTCAACCCGGGATTGGATGGCAATTGGAGAGGGCTTGGTGGAGCTGCAGCCAGCTAGTGAGGAGCCGGCTGAAATTTGCAGGGCAGAGGAGTACAGCCGCTGGAACGGAGAAGCGGCGAGCTAGCCGGCTGTTTCGGGAGTTGCTGTCCCGGAATTAAGCTTCTAGAAGCATAATTACAGAGGGCTTATTCCAGATCAAGTGCCTGAGTTAAGCTTCTAGTGGGTTAATTGCTGGAGAGCTAATTTGAAATAAAGACTGCTGGAATTGAGGGGACGTTGGGCGGTCAAGACATCCCGAGTTTCAGCGGATAAAATATATAAGATTAAATTAAATACAAAAGAGAATTGAGAACAGACTTCTCAAAGAATAAAAAATAAATAAACTAAACGTTTTAAGAAATGCGTTTTGAAGAAATAAAATAAAAAATGAAAAATCAGTTCACGGAAAACAGAATTTATAATGTAATGGCAATATTGTCCATATGTTTAGAATTTCATGAAAATTCATCCACTGAGCTTTGCCTGGGAACTACTTGAAATTAAAACCTTTTTAATGGGAGCTTTTGAAGCTTCAAACTTTCAACCAAACTACCAGTAATGAGTAATAATCAATTACCCCAGACTCTGCCTTGTCTCGAAATTTCATTTTGCAGCTTTCAGGTATCGAAGGCTTTTATTCTGAATTAGCAGGTGTTTATTTTTACCGTAACGTGTTTATTTAGTTTAAAATTAAAATATTTAAATATAAATATTAACAATTAAATTAGAAGTAGATTATTATAAATTGTTTGAATAAAAAACTCGTCGGTGAGAGTGGAATCTATTTTAAATGTTAATTTTTTTAATGATAAAAAATTGTGATTTGCGGGGGTGTGTTTCAGTCACATCGCCATCCAAAAAAGTGGAATCAAATGGATGGGAAGGTTACGTTGTTTTATTGCGCCAACAAAAAAATAGATAAAAACGGAAAGAGCTGTTCAAATCATGTTGTTCAACTTTTACCGGCCATCCATTTTATGGGCCAACGACTGTAGAATTAAGTCAAAAGCTATACAAATCCAGCTGCTGCCATTCGTTTTATGTGCCAACAAAAGGTGGAATGAAGTCAAAAACTATCCACATCCGGCTGCTTACGTGCCACAAGTTTAAATCAAAAACTGAGAGTAAACAAGATCTATTTAGGTTTATAGGAAGGAGCCAAATTTTCGTCAACAGAAGTTAGAAAATCATTTTAAATATTTAATTTTTATAATAAGAAATTAATTTTTGAGAAATTTAATTTTATAAGAAATTGACTTTTTTCTTAAATAAATTAAGTTTTATAGAAAAAATAAGTTTTTTATATATTATAAATAAAAATTAGAACTTAAAAATATTGTAATGTCAAACACTCCAAAGAAAACAAAAAGGAAAAAAGAATCATATGGTTTCAATTTGGAGTCAAAACCGGACATGAAGACACAAATGGGTAGTCACCACTCACCAGTTAGGGGAAAACCCCTCTGTTGGTCCATCAAATTTTATTTAAATCTCAGTTTAGTCTTTTAAATTTAGAAACTTATTGTACAGTCTCTTTTATTTAATTTAAGTTTCTTTTATTTAATTTAAGTTTCTGATTAGTTCTTCACAAATATTTCTCTGATTACTTTTGATCAGAAAAAACTCGTGTGCTAGCCACGTATCTACTTTCACGTGGGTGTATTAGGAAACAAAGAAAAATGGCTTTAGAAAATTAAAAAAAATAAAAATAGTTGAAAGAAAAAATTGTAGAATATTGACAAAATAGAGCAAACTTAGCGACTCACCATTTCGAAAAATTAAAACATGGCATCGTCGTAGATCTTCCCTCTAGTGCGTAAGCAGAATGAAACTCATCACTGTAGGCCCTGATGTTCAACCATTTTTGGCCACCACCTTTGGGCATGAAGACTGCAAATAAATAAATAAATTATGCTGATATCTCATCAAAATTCTCTCTCTATACGTACATAAATATCCATCATATTGATGAATATCTTGGATTTCTTGATTCGCTCTATTCTCATTATTTTAGATAGGTAGGAAAGTTGCATTAGAAGGTGAAAGAGGGCGAACCCAGTTCGTGTTAGATGCGGATTTAACAGCCATGTAAAAATGTTATTGTTGCATTTTAAATGATGTTAAGACTAGAGAGAGAAAGGGGGAGGAGGAGGAGGAGGACATAGATAGTGAAATATTGTCATAAGTAATTGTCAAATGAATATAAATTAGTATAAAATAGAGTATTTAAAGTGGTAATAAAAAAGACCTCAATTGTTCTCTCTTTTTTTTTGTTCTAGAGTCATTTTTTTTATTCCTAATATGCCCTTCTAAAAATAGATATGTGAATTTTACCTAAATTTTTTTCAGATCAAAAGTAGTCAGAAAATAACTTGAAAGACTAATATGAAACTTAGATTAAATATAAAGGACCATGCTATTAGTTTTTAGACATGAGAGACTAAGGTGAGATATAAACAAAACTTGAGGGATCAACAAGGAGATTTTCCCCCAGTTAGGTGGTGTCTGGGATAACTTCTTAAAAGTAATTTTTCACTTTTTATTACTCATAATCACTTTTGAGTTGTCTAGGAATTGATTAGAGCCTTTATTTCTTTAAATTTAAATAGATCAAAAAAAAGTTTTGAAGTTGGATAATTGATATTTATAATTTCAGTGACATATTTGTAATTAAATAACAGTTGTTACAAGACAATTTTGAACATTTTTGTCCTTGTAATTTTTTTTAATTCCTAAACTATCCCAACCTCTTTAATGTACGTACTTCTCTCCCTCTCTGTTCTTTCTTTGTCTTCATGCTAGACATGGGTGACTACTTAGGTGATGGAAGACTATATTGCAATCATCGATTGGAAGCCCTGGGTAGGAAATCTTGGCCAATACATGTTTTCTTCGTCATTGCACTCGGCACGAATAAGGGCTGAACAGGTATTTTGACACAGGTCGCTCTACCAAAAGGAGGCGCCAAGGCCAGTTATGGAGGCAATGCTGAACAGCGTCAAGTTGAAAGCCCACCAACGCATAAAGGTTTAGATTTGAGCAAGAAGGAAAAAAGGGGAGGAGATGCTGAGGACGAGGACGACAACAAAAGTGGTGGAGGTTTTGGCACCGATGTGTGAAGTTTTTGGTGGCTATGGTGGTTTAGCTATTTCGAAATTGGGGGTTGCGGGATAGGGTAACTGATTGACACATGACAAGAGACAATACAAAGGAGTTTTTCGTCTTTTTCCTCCCAAAAATTTTCTCCTCTATAGTATTACAAAAATTATATTCTAAAAACATAGTTTACTAATTTTAAAAATTTTTGAACATATTTTGTAAATACATTTAATTTTTAATTATAATTTATTTCTATTAATTTCAGATTTGAGAGAAGTATTTGTAAATAACCCCTTGCAACTCTGTTACTTGAAAAGTCGGTTGTCTAAGTCGGTCAAAAGATTACATGCATGTAACACGTTTGATGATCACAATGTTCGGGAACTATCCTTTCAACTTTCAATGATATCCTTACCTTTGTCACCTTTCAAAAGAAAATGATATAAAGCTCCTCTTCTCATTTTTATTAAGAAAATGATATAAATTACTCCCGCCTATAATTATATAGATTATAAATTTTAAAAATATCAAACTTGTTTAAATAATTTGAAAAATCAGACATTTTATTATACTGTTTACGTTATAATTTAATTAGTTATATAATAAAAAATATATAATTTGTATATATTATTTTAAGTTCAAATTCTAATAATTAGCTTATCTCTCCGTCCATGCCTATTTTAGATAAAATGAAGTTAGATTCTAATAATAAGAAAAAAATCATAATATTAAATAAACAAATCAAAAGCCTAATTATGTTGTCTAATTAACCCCCACTAAAATTTTAGTTTCTTTTTCTTGTTAGAAAATTTTTATTTTGAGTGCAACAGCATATTGCAAAATGACAAAAGTTTACTCGGCTTTTGGGTCTTGTGATTGAGTTATAGAGAGTTTAAAACCATCACATCCCACTGAAAATTCTAAAACCATGAGATAATTTATAATTACTTTTTTATGAAAGTAATTTATATTTACTTAATTTGTTAAATTTAGAGTTTGATTTTCCTAGAAAAGTTATTTATTTGAAAAGTTCTTTCTTAGCTGGTAACTTCATAATTTAGTTTCATACTTACCAAAATATTAATATTAGATCAAACCAAATGATTGATAGTACCAGTTTAGTGATGGATTAGAAGGTGTAGTGATTTAAGTCGAGGAAGAGGATTGGATTGGAATAAACTTATTCATCAGTGAATAAGTTTGGGAAGAAAGTATCAAAATACAAAACGATATGTTAATCCTGACTAATTTTTTATTAAACAAAATGTTGATATGAGTGGGTGTCGTAGCATTCCAGGGAAAAATGTTTCCGTTTCCCTTTTTGTTTCTTGAGAAGTTTTGAATAAATTATTCCTTTCCTGGGCAACAATAAAGAGAATCCATGAAACTATGTATGTGACGTGACATCTGAATATTATAAAGAGTAGGTCCTGAAATGGGTTTGGTGAGGATTCAATGGGAGACTGATCCTGGTACGTTAAGTGTTTCTTGGAGGACATAGATTTAAACTTGAAACTGCGACACAGAGAGTTGGACTTCCCACTAATCTTCTTATTTGAATTATATTTTAGATGGAATTTTAAGCGTTTGTTTCACACTTAATCGATTATGAGTCTTTTCTAAATATTTTATCATTTTTTTTAAAATGATAAGATTTCAATTTATAATAACCGAAGCGTTATTAAATCTAACAATTTGGTAACTCTGAATCACCAGTTCAAGATACTTAAATTCAAGTTGTACAATAATAATTTCTAATCTTTTATATACTATATATCATATCAGTGTCAAAAATTGACGTGAGACAGTATATTACAATCTCATCTATTAAAGTTAACAACTTATTGAGTTTGAACCATTAATAAATAATGCTTAAATTTAAGTTGTTCAGTAATAGTTTTTAATCTTTTATATATTATATTATATCATTATCAGAAATCGATATACGACAACATATTACACAATTATAGTGAATTAAATATAAGAGACTTCAACAAAAAAAAAAAGAAAAAAGAAAAAGAAGCAAAAGAAGAAGAAGATGATGATGATAAGGGGTTACAAGATGCAAAGTGTGCCTTAGATAAACATTGTATTATTTTTATATCTTACATATTGCAATTATTATATTTTAAACATAAAGAAAAAAATTACGGCGGGACTAGTTAAAATGTTAAAGAATTTTACTATTGAAGTGTTGATCTTAGTTTCAGTTGTTGTAATACCTTAAAAATGAAAAAGATTATAGAAAAGGATGGAAAGGGTGAAGGAGAATTTGAACTCTTTAGCACTAAAGAAAACTAGAAATGCTCATTATTTATTATTTATGGTGACTAAGGAAAAATTTAGGCCCTATTTAATAAAAACAGGCTTAATTAGTTTTGCTAAAGAGGGGTAAAAATAAAATTTATTTCACTTAAAATTTGAATTTATTTTTAGTCATTTTTAATTTAAATAATTCAATTCAAAATGTCATCAAACACAATTCATTTGGAACCATCTGAAAGTGTTCAGTTTTAAGAATTTTGTATTATCAAAAAAGTTTGAAGTACTGAAAATTTTAAATAACTAAAATCTTAATAATTTCTATGAATTTAAAATTTAATTAAGATATTCATAAGAACGTATAATAAAAAATAAAAATTATCTAATTTCAGCACTGGATCTGGATATAGTAATAAGTTCACTTAATTTTTTAATTTAATAACTAATTATTAAACTTTATTAAATATATTTAATTTGAAAATATTTAAAAATACGTGCTAATTAGTGATATCATTTATAGATGCAATGCAGGGAAAACTGCCCTCGTTATTTCCAAAATTAATTACCGAAATTTTTCAGTTTCATGAATTTAAAAGCGTAGGCTTCATCTTTCTTTAGATTCTGGGGGTTATTTTTTAACAGAAAATTCAAATTTTTCGAAAAGAAAGACTATAAATACCTCGCAACTCCTCCCTCTCTTCTTCGGACTTCCCTCGTAAACAATTCAACAGATATGGCGTCTCTGTCTGCGTCATTCCCGCTATGTTTCACAGTGACACAACGAGAGCCAATTCTAGTTCGTCCGGCCAAGCCAACCCCCCACGAGCTGAAACACCTCTCCGACTTAGACGACCAAGAAGGCCTCCGCTTTCAAATTCCCATAATCTCTTTCTACCACTCCAACCCATCCGTGCAACCCAAAGACCCCGTCCACATCATCCAACAAGCGCTGGCCCAAGCACTCGTCTTCTACTACCCGTTCGCCGGAAGACTTGTCGAAGGACCAAACAGAAAACTGTCCGTCAATTGCACTGGCGAGGGCGTCCTATTCACCGAGGCCGACGCCGACGTCGAGCTCCGCCGCCTCGGGGTTGAGACGGGAAGCCCTTACTTGGCGGAGCTTCTCCACGACGTTCCTGGCTCGAGCGGGATACTCGGATGCCCACTCCTCTTAATTCAGGTGACCCGCTTCAGATGCGGCGGGTTTGTCGTCGCGGTGAGGCTGAACCACACCATGAGTGACGGTGCTGGGATCCTCCAGTTTCTGAACGCCGTTGCAGAGTTTGCTCGGGGTGGTGGGCCTGAGGCGAAGATGTTGCCCACTGTGCCGCCGGTGTGGCAGAGGGAGCTCCTCTCGGCGAGATCGCCTCCACGTGTCACGTGCTTCCACCAGGAGTACGAGCAACGGGGGAGCGTGACCATGTCTGGTAACTGTCAGGTAGGTAGGAGTGATAATTCAATTGTTAGAAATATTATAAAATAAGCGTGTGTCCTCTTTTAATTTAATAATTTAATTATAACCACCCTAATCACCCGCAGCAGGACATGATCCATGGATCCTTTTTCTTTGGCCCGAAAGAGATTAGAGCCATTCAAAGCCTCCTTTCCGAGAAGTGCACCACGTTTGAGGCTGTCACCGCTTGCTTGTGGAGAACTCGAACTCGGGCCCTCGGGTTTGACCCGGACGAGACCGTTCAGGTCTCGGTTTTCATCAACCTCCGAGGAAAGTTGCCCATACCTGATGGGTACTACGGCAACGCGATCGTCTATCCAGCTGTGGTGGCAAGGGCGGCGACGCTGGTGACAGAGCCGCTGGGGTACGCTGTGAGGCTTGTGAAGGCAGCGAAGGCCCAGATGAGCGAAGAGTATGTGCAGTCGGTGGCGGATCTTATGGTGACGAAGGGGAGGCCCATGTACACGAGAGCGGGGAACTTTTTGGTTTCAGACAATTCCCGGCATGGGTTCGACGGGTTGGATTTCGGGTGGGGAAGCCAGTGTACGGTGGCCCTGCGACGGGCATGGGGCCGATCTGTTTTTACGCGCAGTACAAGGACGGTGGCGGAGTAGACGGGCGTGTTGTAATGCTCTGCTTGCCGAGGCCAGCGATGGCGAGGTTCAAGAGGGAGTTGAATGAAATAACGAGGGGGGAAGAACATGCCAGAAATTTGGTTATCACAAGCTCACTGTAAGACGTTCATGTTATGTTTTCCTTTCACCTGTATGTTTGTTGACGCTTAATTTGCTCACTGTAAAATGTGTATGTTTTCCTTTCACTTGTAAGTTTGTTGACGATTAATTTAAAATAAAGGTAGAACAATACATTTTAATTTATCAAAATTATTGAATTTTTATTATCTGTAAAAAGTAATAAATAATTAAGACCTTATATCACTGTCTCCGTGGATAATGAAAATTAACTTTTCTAAATTTGTTTCTAAAATTTTTGTTTAAAAGTAAGAAGGGAGGATAATTTTTTAGGTAAATTTACCATGGTGACAAAGTAACCCAATTGATCATGTCAAATTTTGTAACCAGCGTTAAGTTTTAGAGTCAATGCCCTGGGACTTGGAAGACTATTTGGCCAATTCCATCAGCCTTGACAGGTGTTTGGTTTTTAAATTTTTTAGGTTTTAGGTTTTTCTTTTTCTTGTAAGAGTATAAACTTTTTTCCTTTTCATAATTTGGATGATACTAGTTTTTTCCTGAAATTTAATAGAAAATGTTGTTGAGAAGGTGTTTGAGTCATTTTCTGTTTTTATTTCTTGAAAATATTTTTTAAAATGAGTTGAAAATTAAAAATATCAAAAAATTATTCCCAATATTTTTTTTTTGTACAAAACTCAATACGCGAAACAAGTTTGTAATTAAATTAATTTTTCGGTGTTTTCACTTATTCTTCGCTTCTCCCTGTGCTGCTGGTCCTTCTCTCTATGTTTCTCTCCGCTTCTCTCTACTTCACCAGGATTTTAGAAATCTCGCCATACCATGCAAGGCTCATCCTCGACACTGTCTGCCTTGTTTACTTGTTCAACATAAGATCGCAGTTTTACGACGTCGACTTCAAAGCATACAGTTAAGCTCGTTTCCAAGACTCCCCCTAGTCAATTTGATTTTATAGTGAAATCCTATAAGTTCTGGAGGCCTAAGGACCTTCCGGACAAAGGTATCTAGAAAGTCACGAGTAAAAGACACGGGGGATTAAGTTGCGATCACTCGTTGCTGCCAATCCGATTTCTAATCTTCAGTGCTACCAATCCAATTCCGACCACTCGAAATTCAGCGAATGTCGCTGGACCACTCGTTCACAGCTTCGATACCGAGATCTTTAGTGTTTCTGCTGAGATGCTGGACTGAATCGGTGATTGAAGGCGCGATGGAAGTCGACCGGAAGAACAGAAACCCTTCTTGTTAGGAAGGGATGAACAGGGCAATATTAATTATACTTTGGTCACCCATCTCTTTTCGTTATTCAATCTGCTCTTTAAATTTTTTAGTCTTTGATTTAACATCTAAAACTTCTAATTTTTTATATTTAAACTCTAATTAAAAACTCTAAAACTCTAATTCCATTCAACTGTGTTTGTATTTTTAATTTATAAGAAATTGATAAATAAAAAGTATTTTTATTACTTTTATTTTTTAAAATAGAAAATACTAAATTAAACCAAACTAAATCAAACATGTTTCTTAGAATTTAGAATTTTGAAAATAAAAATTATTTTCAAAATTGCAAATGGAAAAAATAAAAAAGAGCCAAACACCACCGTAGTTTTTCTAAAATTTCGTCCCGTTTGATAATACAAAATATTCCGTGTAGATCTACAAGCTTTTTCTTTCTTCTTTGAATTTCAATATGTTCAGCCTGGGCTCGACTCTTTGACGGGCCATTGGAGGGCCTTGACCCAAAACCTAGCTGCCTGGTCCATTCCTTAAATTGGCATCAATTAACTTGGACCTTGGTACCCATTATGACCAAAACATTTTTTTATGAGCTTTAATTTGAAAATTCTAAAAATAATTATTTTATGTTATTTTTAATTAATGTTCTACTACAGAAATTATTTTTACATAACAGTAATTCAACTTATATCAGCTAAATATAAACCAAATCACAAGCAATAAGTTAAAATTTAGTAAACAATACTACTTTGACTAAATTTTAGATTCAAGAATAGTGTATTTTAATTTATGTGAAATTATCAATTCTGTGCTACAAAAAAATCAAACGGTTAAAAACATTTTAGTATAGTGCCACTAAATTTTTAATTTTTAAATTATTTTTTGATGTCATTTATCCTCTCACGTGATGTAAGCTACCAAAATTATAAATATTTTTTGATAAATTTTTACTAGCTCATATTTACGTATAATGTTTATATAATAAGCCTGTTTTCAGTGTAACTTGTATTGCCACCCGAGCCATCAACTTCAGGACTTGGTCCATGTATCTTTTTCTCTAGGTCGAAACAGATTAGAGCCATTCAAAGCTACCTTTCCGAGAAGTGCACCACGTTTGAGGCTCTCACCACCTGGCTCTGAAGAACTCGAATTCGGGTCCTCGGGTTTGACCCGTGCGAGACCGTGTTGGAAAATGAGAAGTCTATTTTATTGATCAGATGGCGACTTCTCAGTAACCCAAGCTCACCCAGAATCATGCTGGATTACTAGGAGACAGGGTAGTAATTGGACATAATGGTTCTACCGTAGTGACAAATTCTATACATTATTCCTTAATGGACATAATGGTTCCCTTAGAAATGTCCTCCATCACGTCGATGTCGACTACAATGACTGAAAGCTCTTGCACCTCAGCGATCCGTTCGCGTTGCGTTCAATTCTTTCGTTTTCATGAACATCTCAAATCTCAGAGGAGACCTTGGTCGTCAAGTCGTTAAAGGAGGTTCCCCTACAACATCTCTGTGGAGCAAGATCCTATTTTAATTTAATAGTTAAAACTAAATATATTTATTATTAATATAACATATTAATTTAAATATTTAAATTTTAATAATTAATTATTTTAATAATAATTATTAAAAATTTTAATATTTAATATTGAAAGATTCAAAACTAAATATAACAAACTGGTTGAACGATTTTTCAGGTGGGTCGTTTTTTGACAATTGAATTATAAGGAGAATTAAGTGTTAATCTATTATCAATTTTGGGCAAATTGCATGATCAATTATTCATTTTCCCTGAGGTGGGAACCAATCATTTAGGAGGATAGGATTGCACCAATGGTCCACCAATGTACACAATAATATCCTTCTCTTATTATATTTCTTGATTTGATATATCAATTATATACAAACTAATTCCCTAAAAAGAAAATATTTATTTGGGATTTCATTTTAAAAAAAAAAAAACGAAAATTCTCAACGGTTGCAAACAGATGGCCACCATTTGAGAGCAGAAAAAAGGCAGCAGCCAGGTCCTGCTGCCCCCATCTGGTTTATCGACGATGTCCGTCTCTACTTGACAAGTTTTTCCTTCGGGATTTCCGTTCTTCGCACTCGTTCTTAGCAGTTCTCCTCCTCAGGATATTCTATTCCTATTTTTTATACTCCTTACTTCTTTAAACTTATTGATTTTACTTTTATATGTTATTTTTTTGTGATTCATTTTTTATTATTTCTTCATTCAAACTAATAGTTTGATATTTCAATAAATAAGTTTTCTTAAAATTTCTTTTATATATTTTGTTTCCAGCTTATGGGTCACATAACAATTATACGTAATAAGATGTTGTTTTTTGTTTTATTGAATATTAGATATTGGATATTATTTAAGATTTATATATTACTTTATTATTATTATTACTAATTATTATACAAAGAAAAATAAATTTCTTTATTATGTTTTTATAATATCAAATTTTATTTAATTTAGATAATTTATTAATTTAATATTAATTCATATACTCAATAAAACTTTATGTTAAAAATAATTGTTAATCAAATTATTATTTTAAATGGAGAAAATAGTGATCCAAATAAATTAACATGAAAAAATAAAATTAAAAAATTAAAAAATGAGTGCGAGGAACGGAAATCCCAAAGAAAAGAGTGTTAGATCAGACGAGGCAGCAGGACTTCACTTTTGAGAATTACTTCCAAAAAGAAGGTTGTCGTGGATAATATAAGGATTAAATATAGTTTGTCTCCTAAAATATTATAATGGTGATATTTTGTAATAGTCCAAATTTTTGTTAAAATTAATCAAAAAATTGATTTATTTGTGTGGAAGGGCTTAATTGCCTGAAACCAAAAGTGGTGGGGTTTAATTAGAAATTTTGGGGGCATTAGTGAAGAAATTAAGAAATTCAAGGGTCTAAATAAGAAATTGAAAAGATTAGGGCCCAATTGCAAGCTATTGAAGGTCAAACTGAAAGAAAATAAAGAGGGAGGACCAATTGGGAAGGTGCGCAAGTTCAGGGTTCAAATTAGAAATGTCAAGGGAGTAATTTGAAAGGAATAAGAAATTAAAGGGCCAATTTGAGAAAAATCCAAAACCTTTGGTCGACCACTGACCGAAGGTTTTGGAAGCCAAATTTCGGTCCAATTGGATGTATTAACCACCTTTGATCAACTATATATGTGCGAATGAGGCTAGTGAAACAAAACCCTCAATCAATTTCGTTTAATAGCAACATACGCTCGATTTCTGTTTTGAAAAACTTAGAAACTCTACATGGGTGTTGCTAGAAATCCACCAATTCTAGCCAAAAAAATCCTCCAATCAAGGCTTAATAGTTCCTCGTTGACTTCGATTCTACCTTTCCCACCCATCAATTGATTAAGGTGAGTTTAAATTTGTATGATTTTAGCCTAAAATTGCTCGGAAACATAGTAGAAAAACTCAGGTCTATTTCCGAGTTATCGGGCAAGGAAGATAGACCTTAAAATGATCTAGTTCTATCTAGTTGGCTCGACCAATTTGACGGAGCCAAACCAGGGTCAAGCTTATTCAAGTCGATTTTAAGAGGTTTCCAAGTTAGTTTAAACCTGTTTTGCCTAGTTTGGGTTAAGGTCAATCTGGTCCAAGGAATTGATAGCATGGTCCAAGGGGTTTTCGGTTCAGTTTGGTGTCCTGTAGGCTAGACTAGTTTGGGTCAAGGAGTTTTCAACCTAGTATTAGGGCTCTAAGGCTCGTTCAGAGGCCTTTGTGACCAGTTCAGGCT